TCGAGGTTAGATGGCGTGCTCATGGCTTCCTGGGGCTTCCTGTTGCTCTGTCCTTTGAGGAGATGACTTAGTTCAAGTCACCAACAGCAAGAGCCTTTCATTGTAACCCACATCTGTTCCCATAAGCCCAGCCTAATCCTATTTCCTTCTGGTTCATGGCTTTGTTAATGGACTTCACAATTTTCAGTTCTCGCCCAAACTTGTCAATGATGAGCCAGGGCCTTCATCCCCAAGGAGCCGGCGATTTCAGCTGGTTCTTGTCTGATCTTTAAGGTTCTGAGTGAGTCTTCTATCCTGCTGGGGGGCAGAGGCGTGCCAGGCACCCAGGGTGGTCAGGCACATGCCTGCTCATTGCAGGATTCGGGGTGGGTCTGCGGACGGCTGCCTGTCTAGTAATGGTCTCTCCTGTGCCAAACAGCCCCTGAGAGAGCAAGTCACCAACAGCAAGGACCTAGGGGACTCACAGAAGCCTCAGTGGAGTGGCTGTGGGCACAGAGGGGGCATTGTCCATGCCAGGCGAGTCCCCAGGCGGGAGTGCGGTACTCGGAGCACAGCAGCGAGGGGGAAGAGGCAGCTCTGCAGGCTGGAGCAGGCTGGTCTCGTGCCCTTGAAGGTCAAGAGGCATGATTTGACTGGGATGAATTCGGGTGCAGATGGCGAGTGGTTAATGACTGATGAGGTCACACTCTCTCGCTCTCTGGCACCAGTGCGGGGAGCCCTGTGTGAGCCACCAGGCTTTGTGGACAAGCAGGAGGTCAGGGCTCTCCAGGGCCTCTGCTCTCTGCCTCTTAGATGTGCCAGAGGCTGGCTCAGGCCAGGCTGGCACGGAGGCCCTTCTTGCTTGCTGCATGCCCTGGGGTTCACATGAGCCCTGCGCTTTGAGACCCAACTCCCTCTGAGCTCCTTGTACTGATGGGCAAGGAGCTGGAGATCCCTGGCCTTTGACTTGGCTTTGAGGACTTTTAAACAGAGCTAAGGCTAGCACCTGGAGGGCAGAGCTTCCCTTGAGGGGACTTTACCCTCCGGGCAGTTCACACACCCTCTCTCCCTCAGGGTAGAAAGAAGCCCAGAGATGGCCAGCAGCGGGTGGGCAGTCAGAGCAATCCGCCTGTGGAGATTGCTGCAGAGGCCTCACTGCTCCGGCCAAGCCCAGCTGTGCCCACCTCCCTCCTGACGTCAAGTGTCTGAAAACCCCAATTTCCTGGCTCGGAGCTGCATGTTGGCGGCCTGGGTACCCCGCCAGCCCCGTCCAGCGCTTCAGGTTCCGCAGCTGTGGTGACTTGGTGCTGCTCTAGACGTCTGCACTCAGCACGGCAAACTGCCGCCTGGGCCTCCCGGACTGCCCTCCTTTCTTGTGCAGAAACACAGGATCCATGAGGAGACACAAGTGGTCTGGAGAGTGGGCCGTGGAAGGCAGCTGAGCTCCTGTGAGATATGAGCGGTGCAGAAACAGCTTTGTGCTCAGCCACGTTGTTGTCTGCAGACTTGGGGTGCTATGTGGGTGTCTGTGTGCACTCACGTGTGTGTGCCTGCGGGTGTTTTGACCCTGGGCTCTGGCGGTGGAAGGGCGTTTCCTGAGGCAGAGGACCATGGGGTGCTCGTACACTCTTGGGTTAAGGGGACAGGCTTCAGTGGCTGTTATGGTTCAGGTGTGGTGTCCCTGAGGGATCAACTGAGTGCCACCTGGAGTCAGGTGGGGTGTGGCAGGAGGAGGTGGGCATTGGGGGCTGGCTTTGGGGTTTATATTTGTGTCTGGTAAACGGAGTCTTTCTCCCTCTGCGTCCTAATCATCCTGTGAGCTGCTTCCCTCTACCACACGCTCCGCCATCATGTTCTGCCTCACCTCGAGCCTAGCCCGAGGAATGGAGCCTGCTGTCTGTGGAGTGGGCCCTCTGAAACCGTGAGTCACTAAATGAAGTTTTACTCCCCGAACATGGTTCTTAAGTCACAGCCATGAAAAAGCTGACCAAAACAATGGTGTCCCCACAAACCCGAGGCTCCCGGACTACCCTGTCCATTGGAGCCGGGGTCACTCAGATTTTCAAGAGGAAAAGGGATCCATATTTTTTTAAACCCATGGTTTTGTGACAGAGTAGGAGGTGGAGCAGTGAGTGAGGGGTCAGGGACGACGCCCTGGAGGCAGGGAGCGGGCAGCCATTTCCTCACAGGGGACCATGGTGGTAGCTGGATGGATAGACAAGAGCAGAGGAAGAAGGGAGGAAAACGCAGACCCAACAGAGCTAATGGCTCCCCAGGGCGGGACCAGGAGGGAGGAGGACGCCCTGCCTGCTGCCAGGCCTGGGTGGCGGAGGTGCACGTGCCATGGGAGGCCACACTGATGACGGTCACATGTGAGCAGTGCCCAGGTGCCAGGTGTTGCCCCAAGGGCCTGCCGCAGGCTAACTCAGTGTGAGGCTTTRGGATGGACAGGTCCACTCCATCCCAGGAGWGGACRGAGACGGAGGTGAAGCCATTTACCCACCAGCACGTGGCCGGCAGGGAGTGGGTAAAATGGGAGACACCCGGGGCTGACTGTCCCCTCTCGGAAATGYGTAGGACCTGCAGTGGTTTTGATATTTTTTCTCTCTTTAGATTTGGGAATATTTGAGTATTTGGGGGGCTGGGACCCAAGTCCTGTCACCTGTCAATCATCCATCTCGGTCTCGGATTCRTAGCCTGAAGGTGAGTTTACGGTGTGTTTTTGTGTTGGTGCTGGGTGGTGCCCGTGGCACGAGGCCAGGTGTGGATTCCTGGCAGGTGGCACCCTGCACCTGCTCAGAGTCTGACTTTGGAGCATTGAGTGTTTCAGGGTAGAGCTGCTCGGCCTCTATGTGGTCTCTGCCCCTRGTTCCTGGCAGGGCAGCTAGATCCCTAGGGGTTTCCTGATGATAAGGACCATGGACCGAGCCTGGCTCTAGGGGAACTATTGGCAGGCCACAGACAGCTTCAGGACAGAGCTGGTGGCAGGAAGGACAAGCCTTGGTGAGAAGCTCGGTGCCCTGAGCCCGTTCCTCCACCTCTGTAGTGAGGAGCTGGAGCTGGAGTGAGTCTCCTGAGTGGCTTAGCCAACGTGGCCATGCTGGGACCCCACAAAGCCCCTACCCCACAGGCCGGGGGGCTTCTGGTGGACACAGGCACCACAGGGAAGTGGTGCACCCAGCCCCACAGGGACAGAGCCTGCTCTCAGGGTCCTCTCGGCTCCCCGGAGACGCTGCTTCAGCTGGCTCTTCATTGGTGTCTTAGAATGAAGGAGGAACTGTGAGTGTCCCTCCACTGGAGCCTTGGCGGGCTGTTAGGACTTTGGTGACCCCAGGCCCAGGCTGGTCCCGAGCCCTCAGACCGACTCCACATGATGAGGGTCAGAACTGAGTTGGATCGTAGGGCGCCCGTGGGCCATGGAGAGCTGGAGAAGCGGCCGGTTGGGAAAACTCTCGTCTGGTATCAGAAGTGACRTCAGCAGAGCCTGGCAGGAGTAGAGCTGGGATTCAAGTCGTGTCATCTGGTCCTTGGGAGCTCGATGATCAAACTGCAGGGCAGCTCAGGAGAAGGCCTGCAGGATCCTGGGRGCAGCGCACTGAGCCACGCTCTGTGGATCCCAGGCCTGGCTCGCTCCCTGCAGCGGGAAGGGGCGTGGTCGGAGCTGCTAGCTCCATAAACGGCTGCTAGATAAGGTCCGAAGGGAACATGCAGCTCCCATTGAGGCCCTGGGGGTGCCCGCTGGTCCTCAGAAGAGAGCGTTATGCTTTTGAAGCAGCGGGAAACTCAGCTTGTCCAGTAACAACAATGGTGACTTGGTGCCACTGGGCTGAGTGTCTGCATCTAGTTCCTACTGACCGAGATCGTGATGGGAATGAGGGCGTCAGTTCCGGGCACCTCGGCCTCTAGGACTTACAGCTTCCCCGGGGCTCCCCTCCTCCTAGGAGAACAGCATCAAAGTGAGAAGCAGCACCCATCCAGAGGAGAAGCGCCTTAGAGAGCCACCTACGGACAGCAGACGGGAAGGCTGGAGGCCAGGTGCAGCCTTAGCCAGGGACACCTGGTGATGCCACTGGGTGACAGAACATCACCTCCAAGGTCAGGCTCAGTGGAGCAAAGAGTTGGGAAAGGTGTTCCTGAGGGATGGCAGACCACGGGAAGCCGGYGTGCAGACCTCTTGGGCCACCGCTGGAACACCTGAGGGCCACTTGTGGCCTAGGTTCCTTCCCTGGAAACATCTGGGGAACCACAGTTTTCTTGGGACCTGATCATTGCAGGTCAAGAAGAGGAAAGCAGGGCCAGGGGGCAGACAGCCGTGCAGAGGGACTAGAGGGCACCGTCTCAGGCCATCCAGGGCTGGGTTTGCCCGCCCGCCCTCCTCTGTGGTGAGGTCTGGCCCTGCTGCTGTGGCCTGGAGACCTTCAGGTGGCTGGGGCAGCAGTTTACCCACAGTTGACACCACCACAGGCCTGCTGGGGGCAGAGAGTTGCCAGAAGAAATTTGCACAAAACACAAATATATACTGTTTTTTTTTTTTTTGCAACAAAAGAAACTATTTATTTGGAATATGCATTACCAGTACAAATTAGGAGACTGCAAAACCTACACCGTGTTAGTATCATTAGAGAACACAAAAGTTCAGTTGGAGCCCAAAGGGACAGAAGCCTGTGCTCTCGAAGCAGAGAAGCTTGACCTTTCCAAACAGCCGAGCTGTGCAGGCCTACACTCTGAAAAACAAGAGGGGGAGGGCGGAGGGAGCATGGACCAGCAACCCAAGGGCAGCGCTTCAGACGGAGCGCCGGGGAGAGCGAGGTAACAGAGAAAAGGGGAAACAYTGAACAAAAGAAAAACATTTACAAAAAATAAAAAGTTTCCAGAACGCTTTGAGCTAGGGATGGAGACCGTGAAGGTGATGTGAGAAGGTCGTCCCTGTTCCGCGAGGACTGGCGCAGCCGTGGGTCCGCCGCCTGCTCCTGAAGCAGGGGCCCGGCCCTCTGCAGTTTGGCTCCATTTTTCTGAAACTCTGGCTGCTCTCGAACACCTGATTTGCTGAGTGAGGTCTGTTTCAGATGTAATCCCTTCTGGTTACCAGTGCTGCCTTCTATCCTGTAACTACCAAGAACGCTCCCGCCGAGCCAGCTGCACAATTTTAAGCAGCCGTCCAGGTCGCAGGTCAACAAGATGGGCACTGCCAGGGACTCAGACTCAGCCTTGAAAGGACAGCATGAGTCTGGCTGAGTATCTCACCAGTTCTCCACCCCAATCAGGACTCCGGACCAGCAGCCAGCCTGGACCCAGGCTCTGCGTCCAGGCTGCTCTCTGTGGCCTCTGGTGCCCATCCCACGGCACCTCGTGGGCTGTCTGGAAGACCTCACGGAGAAAGCCAGCCCTCGGTCGAGGCCCTCAGGACCAGCCCAGGCAAAACCCTGTGCCTGCAGCGTCAAGAGACCCTGGGCTCATTCTGCGGGTTTTCCAAGAGCCCAAAGGAGCAGCAGGTCCTGGGCTTTCCTCGGGGCCTGGAAGCGCAGGTGAGCCCGGCTTCCGCCTCGCTCCCCAGCTCAGCTGCACTCTGAAGCACAGGAGATCGGGGACAGGGACGGGACACTGCCATCTTTTCACATCACCTTGTGTACAGGTTTCAGGAACAAAAACAGCAAGATCATAATCTTGACAATTAAAAAAGCCCCCACCCCCAAATAAACAAACTGAAAATAGCACGAAAAACTTTTTTTTTTTCCTTTTTCTTTTTTCTTTTTTTTGGCATTTTAAAGAGCAGGAATAAAGAAAAGAAAGGAATTTATTTCTGGGTCTCAAAGTTAATAAACAATGATGTGTTAGGTTGTAACTATTAAGTTCACTATTCCAACCTTTTTTTTTTTTTTTAGTTTACAAAATGAGTTACTGTCACTTTTAAACATCGTGAAACAAGAGATGGACGTGCACAATGACACTCTCCTAGCATCCTGACCTAACTCACAAATGCAAGGAAATGAAAGAAAAGTGGGAAACGAGGAACGCAGGTAGTTTGGTGTTAAAAACAAATGCAGGAACGATGCGCGACACCACAGAAAGAGGGGACGGCCCCGCCCTGCTTCGCGTGCTATGAGGGTCATCTGTAAAATTTTTATTATAAACACTATTAAATTCAGACCGCTTTTTTGGTTTTTTCTTTATCTGAATATACAAGAACATTCATTATCAAATGTTCGTCATCAATACTACAAAGAATGAGACACAGTCGCAAGAGACAATGGGATATGTCAATAAAGCTGAAAGAATCATTGAGTTTTTTTTTGTTTTTTTTTAAGTTTTTTTTTTTTAAATTTGAGTTTCTGTAGTTTCATCTTTTTTGGTATCGAAGTCAGGTTTTTCTGGGCAGAAAAATAAAGAGCAGAAGGAAAGTGGGGGAAAGAAGGGTGAGGGAAAAGGCCACCAGCTGGTAGAACCGCCACCACACAGGGACCTGCAGAGAGCGTGGCCTGGGGACCGCCAGGCGACGGCCAGGCACCGGGACCASGGGCTGTGCCAGGGCCAGGTGGGCAGGCCCACCTCCAGGACCATCTGGGGGCATCTGCTGTGGGGAGGGGCACGCCCCACCTCCAGTAGGAACGGCAGGACCCCTGGGGACATCTGGTGTCTCGGAACTGGCTGGCGTGTGTCCCAGGAAGCTGAGGTCCAGGCGGCCCTTCACCTCACGCTGTCTGGCCGGCAGACCCCTCTGTGCTGGTGGGGAGATCTCCTGGCCACCAGGCTGAAATGAYGGTGGCTGGGAGGGGACCTCAAAAGGGTGTGGGACGGGAGGTGGCCTGGGGAAGTGCTGGGCAGGGAGTCAGCACAGTGATTCCTGCCAGGAGAAGAGCTCTGTGAGCCTCTGCTCTGAGCTGCTCACTGCCCTGGTGGCAGTCACCTGATCTGCATTGGGAGCCCTCCTCTGTGCTGGGCCCCCAGTCAAGCCTTGCTCCTGTGTGAGCACCTTCAATCTATCCCTGTCCCTGCCCCTGAGACACGGCGGCCAGGCATCCTCACCCCGAGTTCCTCGAGGCGCCCCGAGGCCTGTCCGTCAGCCCTGTTCTGACCTTGACATGGGGTAGCAGAGGCAGCCTCTCCTGACCTTCGTCCTCCAGCATGGCTGCGTCTGGCCAGCGTCTGCTCTGCACTTCCTTCAAGGCCCACACCCTTAAGCCTCCTGGGCAGCGTCCCCGTTCTGCAGAGCACACAGAAGGCTTCCTACTTAGTACCTAGTGCCAGGCACAGTCCCCCAGCCTCCTGGGCAGGCCGTCCTCGCCTCAGGGTGTTGACCTCTCCCAGGAGCGGGGACAAGCACTTGCAAGGCCACGTATTGAATTCAAGTACGAGCTAACAGAGCAGACCCTCGTCTTTAAATTCGGAAGCTTTTCTTTCCCCTAGGAAGCCACAGGGACCAAAATCCAAATCCAAACCCGAGAGCACAACAGACAAGCCAAAAACCCCTTCGACCAACTCCCTGTCACCCTGGTGGTGACACAGGGGACTGAAGGGACCAGAAGTTAGGAAAAGAAAACCACTGTTGTCCCTACGTGGGATGAACCAGCCCATCTTGGGACGCTGCTTCCCCGACTTCTCGGATGGGGCGTGAGCACGTCAATCTCAGTCTCTCACCTGTGTCCCAGGTGAAGACAAGGCTGCCGCCTCCCACATAACCCCCTTCCCGAGGTCAGCTGGCAGGTCAGCTGGGAAGAATACAAGCCCAGGGGACATGCGAGAAGAGCTCTTGGCACCTGCTATATTCTCTCAGACCTTCCCAGGGAGGAGAAACCGCYCCGACCCCTTCCCCTGGCTCTGGTCTCTTCCAATCAGGCCAGCAACAAGCTCACCCATGGCAGGAGGTCAGGATGGAGAGCAGGTCCAGTCAGGACAGCTAATACACTGCACCCAAGGTGACAGCCAACTACAACGGCGGCCTCCATCCAGGACTTCCTGAGCGGACTGTGGCTCCCAGGARCTCACTGTCGGGTAGAGGCTTCCACTGGACACTGATCTTCACCAGTGAGGTCCTGCATGGCACTGGGGCACTGMCAGTGGACCTGCTGGTTCCAGAGACCAGGTGCTCACTGCTGGCCTGACAGTGACCCTCAGAACTGCCAATGCCCTTCCTGGCTTGCGGGCCAGAGCGTGGTGGCTCTGAGCGTGGGCATCTGCTCAGATGGTCTGGGGGAAGCGCAGGTGAGACTGCACCTGTTGGCATGTGCTGGTGTGCCTGGTGTGAAGGGACAGTTCACATGCTGCAGGACAGAGCCTTCTCCCCCTGACTGATGCTGTCCTGGCTGTGCCCAGACCAGGCCCGTCCGCGGCGGGAACTGAAGGTGGCTGGCTGAACGTTGAATGGTCCTAGAGACTTTCTGCAACCAAGTGTTGGGGGAGGGGTCAAAGCCTGAGGGGACCCTCCCTGGCTGCTCCCACCCCTCCCTGCCCTGGACTTCCTGCCTGGGAATCCACGGGAGGCCGGAGGACAGTCCCCAGCACCCAGGGAACAGGAGGAGCAGAGGAGGCGGGAGGGGGGAGCAGGGCAGGTGGCTTTTCCTGCTAAGAGGTAGAGAGAGCAACAAGAGGAACGGGAGGACTGGCCGCCAGCACCAGGAGCSGGTCAGAGGGCACTCAGCTCCCCAAACCACAGCGTGGAGACAGACAAACGCTTTTATTATTTTCTTTGTGATTTGCTTCCTTTCAGATTCCTCTAAGGGTTGAAAGTATCCGTCAGTGATGTACTAGAGGGCAGGGACCCGGGGAGCCTAGGACAGAGGGAGGGGGCAGGAAGCCAGGCCGACAGCTGGAGGCAGGGAGGGGCGCGTCTACCCAGAAACGAAGGGAAGAGAGTATAAAGAAGTGTCCAGATTGGCTGAGAGAGCATCCCAAAGAAGACAGGAGAGGAGACTCGTATTGTGTTTGCCGATTGCTTCGACCCCGTCTGACGGCGCCAGTGTGGGGAGAGAAACCCTCCCCCGGCCCCTGCCCCAGGGGGCCCGGGGTCAGCCGGGTGAAGGCGGGAGATCAGTTGGAGGTATCGGAGTGCACGCTGCCAGGTCCTTCTGTGGGGGAGGTCACTGATGAAGGGGTAGTCGCATCCTGCCAACCTCCATTAGCCTGGAAGGAGAGAGGGAGAGAAGTGAGTCCTCCGTGAGCCAGGGGCTGGGGCCCCGATGAGACGAGGCGGAGGAGCCCGAGAAGGGCCCAGCACCAGGCGCACTCATCCTGGCAGCTGCTGCTGGGGGAGCTCGGATCCCCACCCCGAGAGAGTTCAGATCCTGGGGGCCCTGGGACTCCACGCCTGCGCCTCCCACTTTGGTGATAGGCTTGACGATCCAGCCCTGTGACTGGGTCTCCGCCCCAGAGGAGACCAGGGGTCCTGCAGGTCAGGAGGCCTGGGGGGGTGGGTTCTGACCTGGCGACAATGAGCTGTTGGCAGTGGGGAGCATCTTCCCTTCTTGGGCCTCCGTCTCCCCTTTAGAAAAAACAGGACGGTCGCCCCCAAGGCCAAGCCCCTCCCCCCGGCCTCCCACCTGCTCATGGGGCTCCAGGCCCCGTTCTCAAGCTCCCTCCAGGCTGSACCTAGTGCATGCGAGCCTGGTGCCTCCAGGTTCCCACGTGGACAGACCACAGCTTGCTGGAGCCGGGGCGTCGCTGCACCCCACGGAGTGGCAGGCTCTGAGGTGGGCCTTGGGAAGGGGGAGGCGATCCAGGCTCCACAGCAGCCAAAAGAGGACGGCGGGGCACGGGGCATGGRGCTGGGCTCTGTGAGCGGACAGGAGAGCCACGGCCTGGGAAGCCAGGGCCTCCCTGGACCTGGGAGGTCGATCTTCTGAGGCTAGATCCAGAAGCACCCAGGCAGTGGACTCACTTAGTGACCCGCCCTTTCAAAACGAATCTCAGAACTCAGACACTGAAGAATGGTCATGGTGAACGGCTCCMAGCTGCCCCTGTGTCAAAGCCCTGAAGTGACCGGACGCCAGGCCTTCCCCGTCACTGAGCTCTTTGGAGCTAATCTACCTCGACGCTGGGAACATTGATGTCGATCAGAGCGGGTGTTGGTGTTCCTGGTAAAATACTTAATTTTGTTCTTTTCTCTCACTCAATTCTTTTTTTTTTTTTTTTTTTTTTTAGAGAGAGAGAGAGAATTTTTAATATTTATTTTCTAGTTCTCGGCGGACACAACATCTTTGTTGGTATGTGGTGCTGAGGATCGAACCCGGGCCGCACGCATGCCAGGCGAGCGCGCTACTGCTTGAGCCACATCCCCAGCCCTCACTCAATTCTTTGAAAAACTTGGAGCACAGGGCAGGCATGGCCATTCYGGTTTGGGAGGACCCGGCTTCTCTTCTTGCTCCACCCACAGCACAGCAGAGTGCCGGGCTGAGCCTGCAGAAGAGGAGCCGACTCCCCCGGGCAGAGGCTGTGCAGGCCTCCCGGCCTCTGACCCTCCACCCCCAGCTTTGGTTCCCCATGGCTCACCCCCGTGSGCTCCAGTCCCCCAGGAAGTCCAGGCTTGCTACTCGGAGCAGCTCCCTCCAGTCACTCTGCAGGAGGGGAGGTCTGTCCACCCCATACTCCAGAGTAGCCCTGGGTACCAAAGGCCCTCGCTCATCCTGGACAGTGTCAGGAGCACAGCCTGTCAGTGGTGGGTCCACRAGCAACGTCCCCAGCTCCCACCTCCCTGTCCCCAATGCAGTGGGCCAGCTCTGGCCCTCCTCACTGCTTGCCGTCTGTGATGGGGACGAGGCAGGGCACAGCGGGGAGGACAGAAGGCCCTCCCGTCCCCTGGTTGCCCAGACTCCTGCAGCCGGATCCCAGGGCACAAGGACTTCAYTTCCTGCCAGAGGCCCGCGCAGGCAGTCGGTAGGGTGGCTCCCTTCCCCACCATGCACCCAGGTCCTCCTGCATGTCAGCTCAACTGGGGACAGCCACACTTTCCCAAAGAAGATCTTTAGTGTCATCATCTTTTTTTCTTGAAAAGTAAAATACCTGTATCTTATAATATTTGGGAAATATAAAAACATAGAAACAAAATCCTCAACACCCGTAATTCTACGACTCAGATAATTACTATTAGCATTTTGATATCTGTCTTAATGATCTTGTTATATGTGTATGTCAACCAGACAGATGCTTAGATGACACGGACAGACAGGCAGGTGTGTACGGTGCGGGGGTGTGAGTGGGTGTTGGCCGAGTGCCGTGGGGTTTTAAGGAAACCTGATGAAACTTTTTGAGGTGGTGTCATGAAGCAAATGGCTGGAAAGAGGGGAGGCCGGCATCTGAGCCTCAGCTGGTGAGTCAGGCAGGTAGGAAAGCCCACCATGGTGCCTGGCACAAAGGAGTCTGATCACACTGGTCACARATCACCACGTCACCTCATGGAGCTGTACTGTGGTCCATGGGAAGACAGAGGGGTGTCTGAGGGAGCCCCGTGGCCTGCGCAGCGTGGTGCTGAGGCCAGCCCTGAGGAGTAGCCCTGGGCAGGAGGTGGCAGGGCTTTCTCTATCGCCCAGGACCTTCCGTGAGACTTCTGTGGGTTAAAATAGTACACATTTGAACTTTTTTCTTAAAAGTTCTGTTTCCTCAGGGCACAAAGTGCAGAGGGACGGAGACGTCACAGGTGACAGAGGCAGGAATGAGCTCCACCTCATTCCAGAACGAGCCCTTTGGTTCAGCCAGTTGGAAGGTAGATAAAACCTCCTAACTCAGAGGTGAAACAAACCCTCTACTGCTTCTCACTTCCTTCCACACACTCCCCCACACAGGCACAGACGCCTCAYATTCGGCGACCACCCACATGGGCAGGCCCACAGTCCCACACACCCCCGTGGCCTGCGCAGAGTGGGACTGCAGGTCTCCCTACCCCAGGACATGCCCTCTCACCCCCCACCTCTTGCCTCTTTAGGCCACGGTGGCCTCTGGGTTCGAGCCCTTTCCTCGGGAGGTGTTCTATCCAGGGGTGCAGCCTCTCTGCCTTTCTGCCCAAACCTCTGCCGGGTCACGACAAACCCAGCTCAGCTGCTTCCCGTGAACTGCGCTCGCGGCTTCGCCCCCGTCCACCTCGAGGTAAGGCCTTCGGCGTGGTCCTGGACACCGCCGAGCTCGCTCACTGCAGGTTGACCCTGGGGAGCACTCCCCTCATGCTGCCCTGGCTGCCAGGGGAGGTGACGTGGGAAGGTCTTGGTCTGTCTCTGGGCACAGTGGGAGGAGAGGAGGTCTCGTCAACGACTTGGGGTGGCAGGAAAGGAGGCCTTTGTTCCTGTGTCTCTGTCCCTTCACTCTCTGATGCAAACTGTGCTTCAAAACAGACCTGCTCTCCAAAATGTTAATGTCAGGGAGTCTACACTGGCACCCAGTGGTCCTGTGGCTGGAAGCAAGATCCATCTGACTCCACACCACCAGGCTCCACCTGGAAGGCCGCCGAGGGGGACGCGAAGGGAGCTTAACATGGGGACAGAATGTGGCATTTTTCCAGGATAAGAAGGCCCGCGTCTTCAAAACCAGTCCAAGACCTTTGGGAACCAAATGTTTCAGAACAATGATGCCCATGTATTCCTGCCCTCATGGACAAGTGAGGTGGACAAGTTCAGCTGGACGCTGTGTGGCTGAGAGGCACAGCAGAGGTGACTGGAGCTCGCTGGGGCCAAGGCTGGGCCAGGCAGGGCGGGAGGTCCACTGGTCTCTCCTGACAAATGGCAGGTCCAGAGGCAGCTCCAGCGGCTTCTTCCTTCTCTGCCACCCCCCTCAATGGGCACCAAGTGCCTGCAGCTGCCTCTCCTGGCTGCGTTGTGGCCACGGGGCTGGGAAGTGCCGCCCCGCTCTGCCCCTTCCTGCTCGTGCTGTGCACCAACCTTAGCAGCACCCCCTTGATGCAGAGGATCCATCACCTGAAGTGACAGCCCGGGTGGGGGCTGGCTCTGGGAAACTCGTTCGCAGCCCAGAAACACACTGAGGCGCCTGAACCGCTGATGTCAGCGCTGGGCGAGCTGGCCGAGCAGCGGCAGATGCCATGGCCACAGAGGCCTTCGTGCACAGGTTGAGAGGGGCCGCTCCAGGCCCTCCATCACCCAGACGCCAGGGGCCGCCCCACCGTGCACACGCAGAGCCACTAGGGCATTCCAGAGACCATGGCTCACCAGGGGAGGCCGCGCCCCAGGTYCACATGGTTCTGCCAAGCTCAGAGAACATTTTCCAGATTCGCTCAACACTTCCCGGAGGTTAAACGGAGAGCACTGACCGGGAGATGYTTTGGGGTGAAAAGACGCTCCTGGAGAGTCCCCTGAGGCTCATCTCCTGACTCAGAGTTTCCCTGGAAATGTTACCGTGGTGAGCAGGTCTGTGTCCAGTCTGGCTTTCCTCCAGTCTTAGCTGTCACCAGGGGGATCTTTCAAAAACGTAAGCATGACGGTGTCACCCCAGTTGTGGACCTCCAGTGGCTTCCCACTGGCCTCAGGACAGGGTCAGTGTCCTTGGTTGTGTGCACTCTCCAGGCCAYGCTCCCAGTCAGCACTTCAACCACAGGCGAGGACCTCCTGCAGCCGAGCCTGCCTCCCACTTCCTCTCAAGCCCAGTGCTCTCCCCCTCCAGTTACACCCACTGACACTGGTCACCTTCCAGAGGTCTGGACATCCCAGCAACCCTGCCTGACCCGTGGCGGGGCCTCCTTCCCCTGCACGCCCCTGATTCCCTCTGGGTCYCCGGTCGCCATGCTGGGCTGCCATATGCAGCTGTGCCTTCCCAGGACTGTCTCTACGGCGAGGCCCCGAGGCAGGGCTGTGACATCGTCTTTGATTCTAAATGCYTGCCATAGCATTAGTTTTGATAACGCCTCTCGGGGGACAGAGGAAGAAGCAAGAGAACACACAGTGGACGAAAGCATTGTCCTCCACGGCGGAGGAGAAGTGTGGTCAGGTCCTGGCTCCACAGTTCCCGAGGACCTCATGGCAACCGCCGTGTCAGAAGCAGGGCCTGGTTCCCGGAGACTCTGGCAGCCAGACCCTGAACTCTTCTTACCAGCTCGCCATGAGGGAGACCTGGCAGTGCACACTGCATTCTGAACAGGTGACTCTGATTGATTGATGTCTGCAAGGTGCTGTGGGTTTTCAGGGGAA